GTGTGAACGCAGCATTATCCTCACACTGTAAGAACAATTTTAATCCCAGCAACTCTCCCTCAATTCTCAGACCTTGTGATCTAACCATCTTCTCTGTTGCAGTTCTCCTGTTCATCATCTAACCCATGGAAACCCCACCTTGCACATTTACCATCTATTTGTAAATAAACCTGATTTTACTGATTTCATTCTTGTGAGAGTCCTTGCATGTGGGTCAGAAGCCTACATAAAACCATGACAGAACACTCAGGTCAATCTGACCCAGCAGAGGCTCTCAGAAGAACAATAGCTGAACAGACATTACTTCAGACCAGTGGTGGATGCTGGTCTTTCAACAAGAGGAAGCTCATTTTCGGCCTACATCATAAAATGTGTAGGCCATCATAAAGGCTCAAACAGTGACTTATTAAACACTTTTAGATTTCTTTAACAAATTTGCTTTGATTTTTTAAAGGAATTAATTGATCCATTGCTTTTATAATCATTTTCCAGATTATTCTATAGTCTTTTACAGCAGCCAGCTCACTTTGTCATACCAGGACAGCTGAAAAGACCTGTTATTTCCCCACTGTGGGATCAATAAAAAGTTTTTTTATCTTACTTTTCCCCACATTTTGCACCAAATTAATCTGAGGAGTTGATCAGCCCTGCTGTTAAACTCTAGGTTTTTCCTCTGTTAACAAGACTATAATGGCTTCGCCAAAATCCGTTCCACAACATTCAAACTGCTATTATGTGCAGCTTGTAACTGGCGCGAGGCTAGTGTGAAGTGTGTCCATCTGTGAGTGTTTTGTGACGGTGAAGGGGCTCAGCTGAACCCGCTGGACAGAAGAAGTCAGAAAGAGTGGTAGAAGTCAGTCTCCAAACATAAGAAGCTACAGAAATAACACCAAAAATAGAAGTTTGATTTGTCACTAGTCGTTTTTAACAAAGAAAATGCTGCTTTAATAAAGTCTCCGTTTCAACTCCGAACAGAAACTAAACTAAAAACGGCTCCCATGCACATTTACACCAAAAAAATCGCTGATTCGCTCATTTCCCTGTCAATCAAAAAGGGATTCAGCCTCAGACAAATCATCCAATCATCATGCAGACAACAAGCGTCCGACCCAGCCCCCTGCCCCATAGACCCCCAGAGACGCTCAGCGTCCGATGGGCGGGACAAAGCCAGCATTTATCCAATGACTCGTCTAGTTTAGCTGCAGTCTTTTCATCGTTAATGAGCTCTGTAGATGCTCAGCGTCCGACTGTTTAAAGCACTGTGAAGCTGTGGAAATGAGTGAAATGAGGAAATGAGGAAAGCTGCGTCATTACCAGTGATAAGAAGCTGATTCTGAACAAAAGTTGAGCACGTTGTAGCGCATATTTAGTCAATGACATGTACACACAACAGTACATATTTGATTTTTTTTTTTTTTTCATTTTAGGGGAAGCTGGGCTTCCCTTGCAGTCTTAGAGACATTGCCTCTGCTTCAAAGGTAAAGGTAAAGGTGCTTTATTTGTCATCAGTGTATGTTTCCACACAATGACGAAATTGTGCTCTGTATTTGACCCATCCACACCCAGGTGGAGCAGCGGGCAGCCATGTGAGGCGCCCGGGGAGCAGTTAGGGTTAGGTGTCTTGCTCAAGGACACCACGACATGTGGGTATGGTGGGGAGTCGTACCTAAGACTTTCGGGTCCCAAGCCGGCTGCTCTACCACTACACCACAGTCGCCCCCAGACACATGAATCTTGCTCTGTTCACTTTCTGAACAACAGGATGCTACCAATCAGACCCTGGAACATTTAACTTCTCTGTTACAGGAAATATCCACCAGTCGTTCCCCACTTCAGCCACCAGAGTTCCCAACTACCCTTCAGGTCGCCCAGAGTCCTGCCTCCATCTGTGATGTCACCTCCCCAACTCCAGAGAAATTTTCAGGTGATATAGGCCATTGCAGGGGCTTTCTCCTCCAGTGTTGTTTAGTATTTAACCATTCACCCCAAGCCTTTTGCTCTATGATGCTAAGATTTCATATATCCTAGGATTACTTACTGGGCGTGCCCTTAAATGGGCAGAAGCACGCTTTCAGAACGATCCTTATTTTGGAAACAGTTTTCAAGACTTTGTGCAAGAAATTAAACTAACCTTTAGTCAAGACTCTGATCAGGTATCTCTTTCTAGAGGGTTTTGGAAATTAAAACAGGGCCAGAGAACAGTTTCTGATTTTTCCATTGAGTTCCGCACCCAAGCTGCTACTTCTGGCTGGAACCCCAGTGCACTTAAAAGTGTGTTTTTTCATGCCTTGAACGAGTCTGTTAAAGATGAGCTAGCCCTGGTGGACGAACCTGACTCATTAAATGATTTCATAACTCTAGCCACCCAAATAGACAACCGTCTGCGGGAGACAAACCGTGAAAGGCCTAGAAGATTTAACAAAGGTCAAAATAACACTAATCCTGCATCTTCTTCTTCTCCTCCACCCACCCAGCCACCCAGAGCAACACTCCCGGATCCTGAACCCATGCAGGTTGGTCGGACCAGTCTGTCCCCTGAGGAGCGGCAACAGAGGATGAAGTTAAATCAGTGTCTTTATTGTGGAAACTCTGGTCATTTTATCGCCACATGCCCCATCCGGCCAAAAGAGAAGGTCTGTCGGTAAAGACGGGGAGACCGACGGACCCACCTCTACTTGACACACATCCTCGTTTCATCCTTCCAGCAACCCTGCTCTTTAATAACGACTCCATCAACCTCACTGCTCTCAGATTCTGGCTGTGAACAGACTCTCATCTCTGAATCCATTGTCTACCAGTGCAGACTAGAGACAATTCCACTGCAGGTTCCCCTTAAAACAACAGCCCTTGATGGAAGACTTTTACCTCCCATCACACACCGTACAAAGCCCCTTCCACTTAT